CTGTTCACATACATGCAGAACAGATGAACATTCTTACTTTGTGACTGTCTGATGACTTTTGTGTCCATTCAGATTCAGAAGCGAACGTCTACTTTCTATACTGTGTATATGCAAAGAAATGGATTAAATGGTGGAAAACGAAGAAGGAAAAATGTTGCACAGATTTCAGGGAAGAGTTGAGATGGGCTCTGGGTGGTAAGGAAGAGTTAGCAGATGACTGGGAAAATACAGCAGTAAAGGAGAACGGTAAATGGACTGGTTATTATAGAGCACATTTCTACTCTACTCTTTATACAACATGCCTCATCCACCCATTCATACAAGCAATTTTTTCTATGCTGAAGTGCTTTCTAATATTCACACAAATTCACACTTTGATGGATGCATCGGAGAGCATCTTGGTGTTAGTGTCTTGCCCAAGGATATAGGGCATTCAGACTGGAGTAGACAGGGATCAAACCACCAACCTTCAGATTTGTAGATGAATTTGGGATTGTGGAAAGAGTTGTTGAAGCTAGGTTATTGAGAGAGGTGCTGATCAGAGGGCAGCAGTATGGCTTTATGCTGAGAAAGTTTGCTTGAGAGTGATGACGGAGAAGTATAGAGGTCACAAGGAGTTGCACTGTGTGTTTGTGGATTTAGAGAAAGCATATGATAGCGTGCCGAGGGAGAAACTGTGGTACTGGATGAGGAAGTCACAATTGGCAGAGTATGAGTGAGTATTTGCGGGTGGTGCAGGACCTATGAGAACAGTGAGGCAGTGGTGAGGTGTTTCAGCAGGAGTGACAGATGGGTAAAAGGTGGGGGTGGGATTACATCAGGGATCAGCTCTGAGTCTCTTCTTGTTTGCATTGATGATGGACAGGTTGGCAGATGAGGTGAGGCAGGAGTCTCTGTGCACTACGATGTTTGGAGACAATATTGTGATCTGTAGTGAGAGCAAGAAGCAGGTGGAAGGCAGCCTGGAGAGGTGGAAGTATGCACAGGAGAGAAGAGGAATGAAAATCAGTAGCAGCAATACAGAATACATACTTGTGAATGACACGGACAGAAGTGTAACAATGAAGCTGCAAAGAGAAAAGGTATTGAAGGAAAATTAGTTTAAGTACCTGAGGTAAACCATCTAAAGCACTGGACAATGCACAAGAGGAGTAAAGAAAAGAGTGGAGGCAGGGTGGAGTGGGTGGAGATGCGTGTCAGTGG